TCTCCCTGAGGGGGTTAATTGTGACCATCTCTTCAACGTCTTATGCCTTTATGGCAATATCGCTAGGATAAAATTCCTAAAGAGTAGACCTGGTTGTGCCATGATCCAAATGGGTTCAAAGGAGGCAGCCGATCGCGTTAGTGAGCACCTGAACGGAGCGACTGTATTTGGACAGGTAATCCAGTTTCATCACAGCAAGCAGACCGAAGTACAAGAACATGCTGGCCTTGGGACGCTTTCAGATGGTTCCCCTGTAATGAAGAACTACATGAGTGAGTGTTACTTTTGCACTGTGTTGTCTATTCGGCCAACGTAACTTGCTGACTTTTAGTCAGCTTTGCATTGTGTTAGCCGTTTTGGTAATGGTTGACGGCACTCAAAATTTTCATCTTAAAATTTTAGGACGTAATTGTTCGCGCCCGTCAGCACATTGCTTATTGTGTTTTTATTTTATTTTAGCCGATTCGAATAATCGCTTCAGAAACCCAATCGTCGCCGCCAAAAGTCGAATACTGGCTCCTACTCGCACGCTTCATTTCTTTAACGCTCCATTGAATTTCTCCCCTGAAGATATGTGCCGAGTCTTCGCTGACTGTGGTGTAAAACGGCCGCCGCGAATTGTAGTGTTTACTGCCAAGCCCGGACAGAAGACGTCACTGGGTGAGTTGCACTGCCTTTCTTGGTCTTCGCTATTCATCCTTCAAAGCTGAGACTTTGATGTTCAGATTCTCGGTGTATTTACTTTCTGCATTTTTTTACTCGTTCAGGCCTTGCCGAATGGGACACTGTGCCTGATGCCCTTGATGCATTGTCATTGTCAAATCACCGACCAATTCATATTGTTGGTTTCGCTCATCCTTTCCACTTAAAGTTGGCATTCAGTCCAAAGCCGATATCTGACGACCGAGCTGGCGCTTGCATGATCAAGTATCCTGCTCCACCTATGCATCATAAGGATGCTATTATAAGCCGCAAGCCAACCTACAATACTGCTGCCGCTGCCGACGTTTCTGGCTACGGGTTTCAACCACATACAATTGTTACTGTCGCCTCACCCTCCATCCAATCCGCGCTCTTAAATGCAGCAAGTGACGGTGACAAGCCCGTTGAAATAGGTCCTGTTATGCCACCTCATATTCAGTCGCACGTTTCACGTGACAATGGGGACTCAACGTCAAATGAAGCGCCAAAAACCTCTGAAACCTTTAGTGTTGATGAGTTGGAGGCTGAGGAGGCTGCTTATCTAGC